GAAAACGAATCAGCTAATAGAATTCTTGATTGATTCCCATTGTCAACTGCGATAAAGAATTGGATTTTGGAGGTTCAGCCTTACTAAAGGAAGACCCTATAGCTGCTGGAGTTCCATTAGAACTGTTCTTTTTATGTCAAACTATAATCCCGACTAAGCCTTGAAGCAATCTTCTTACACTCTTACAGACATCTGCCGGCTTTACTTTTCTTATTTATTTTTTCATTACGTCACTTCGCAGCAGAACATATTGATTCAAATGTATACAGGGTGTTTTTTAAAAGTAGCCACTCACGCTTATAACTTTTTTATTTTTTCAGATATAAAAACTAAATTTGGTATGTTAATTTATGACATAAATCGGGATTAATTGACGGTGTACAATTGGTTTCCTTCACTTCCTGTTTCACCGGAAATTGCTACAACTTTTGATTTTTAAATCTTACTCTCAGTATTTTTAGGGTTCCGTACCCAAAGGGTAAAAACGGGAACCCTATTACTAAGATTTCGCTGTCCGTCTGTCTGTCACAAAGGTGTATCTTATGACCCGTTACAGCAAGATAGTTAAAATTTTTACAGATAATGTATCTATGTTGCCGCTATAAGAACAAATACTAAAAACAGAATTAAATAAATGTTTATAAATAAAAAAGTACTTTCACTAAACATTATCTTTTAAGTAAGAATTTTACATAGAATTTTTCAAGTCCCCGGTGGCCGCGTGGTTAAAGTTTTAGGACTTTGCGCTGCTATGAAGTTGGAGCCGTAGTAAGGCAGGTTCGAATCCTAGTCAAGGCGACATTTTTTTCATCGTTTTTTTTTTAATTTTTACATATTTTTACATATTTATTTTCACTTTTTACATATTTATTATTGATTAATACAATTTTTAGTAATGTGTTTCTTCACTTTTTTTTAAATTACTTATACGCGCATTCAAAATTTTAGCTAAATCGGAAAAAAAGTTTATACTAATACAGGGTTGTTCACCACATACGACACGGAGTATTGTAGCTAAACGATGAGATTTTTACAAATTGTAAGTTTGGGGTTCGTTGAAGGACTATTAGAGCTACAATTTAAAAATATTTTTACAAGATACAGAGTGTCCCAAATAAACAAAAAATATCAAAGTTGTATTTTTTTAAATGGAACACCCTGTATATTATTACATTTTAGTTTCTACGATTAAAATAAAAGGTAAATTTGATTAAGGTTTATTATACTTAAACCTTACCGTTTTTGAAATATTTTCAATTTTGTGAAATTGCAGTAAAAATTTTAAAGCTTCATTTCTCCAAGGGTATCAATGTTTTTAATACTAAATATTTAATGAAGTTTATTTATTGATCAGTTATTGTGTTGCAATAATAAAAATAATACTACCTTATACAGAGTGTCTAAAAATTTATTTTAAATAATTATTAGCTTCAAACGGCAATAACTTCTTTAATTTAAATGGAATGCCCTGTATGTTTTAGGAGAATCAGATGCACAAAATAATTGCCTATCAAATTGTATTATACCATTTTTTACCTACCTCTTCAAGTTTTTTTAGAAAATACATTTTATTATAATTTACACCTCATTTATCAGTTTTATCACTATACCCATGGAATATTGACATTTTAAATTTTTTTAAAGCAACATACATATGTAGAAAATGTACTGGTAGTAAAAATAATAATATTGTAAGCCCATTTGTATGCAAAAAGAAAACTATTTAAATCTTTATAAAAGAGTATACCATTAACTAAATATAACACCATTATTTCCGCCCATATACTAATTATTTACATACTTAATTGTGTTCGTTAATAAATTATTATAAATAAATGTGGATTTGAGTCAGAAATCAATATAATAATAAGTTATCAAATTAAAGTCTCTGTTGTTATAAATAAGCATTTATTAAAAAATGAAATATCATTTTTAAGGTGTTACTTTTTATCACACTATCTAATGCCCATACAAAATTCAGTTTTTTAGTATTTGGAGCAATTATTATTAATCAACGCAAACAGTCAGTTAATGTAGTTTGAATACGGCATCATATTAATTGGTCCTCTTTAACAAATATTTAAACAGTTTTTTTTTTATTTTTTAATGAAATAAACGAATTATATCGACAATATTAGTATCTGTACTCTTTAAAAATTTGGTACATCTTTAAAAATGACCTAAAATGTCAATAGTCCATGGGTATATTGATAAATAAGTTCTAAATTACAAGAAAATGCATTTTCTACGGAAACTTAAAGAGATAGGTAAAAAATGGTTTAATATAATTTGATAGACAATTAAATTGTGCATCTGATTCTAGTAAAATATACAGGGTGTTCCATTTAAATTAAACAAGTTATTGCCGTTTGAAGCTAATAATTATTTAAAATAAATTTTTAGACACTCTGTATAAGGTAGTATTATTTTTATTATTACTACACAATAACTGATCACTAAATAAACTTCAGTAAATATTTAGTATCAAAAATTTTGATACCCTTGGAGAAATGAAGCCTTAAAATTTTTACTGCAATTTCACAAAATTGAAAATATTTCAAAAACGGTAAGTATAATAAATCTTAATCAAATTTACCTTTATTTTAATCGTAGAAACTAAAAATGTAATAATATACAGGGTGTTCCATTTAAAAAAATACAACTTTGATATTTTTTACTTATTTGGGACACTCTGTATCTTGTAAAATTATTTTTAAATTGTACCTCTAATAGTCCTTCATCGAACCCAAAACTTACAATTTGTAAAAATCTCATCGTTTAGCTACAATACTCCGTGTCGTATGTGGTGAACAACCCTGTATAATGTCTAATGTTGTATAGATAATGAATGGTACGGAACCCTTCGTGCGCGAGTCTGACTCACACTTGACCAATTTTTTACTTTAGTTAATAGAAAATGACATTCTTAATAGAATAACATATCACATATCAACTTTTGACATTTTCAATTAAAAAAATAGCATTTTAAATTTCAATCTAGAGTGCTATGGCAGTGTTAAAACCATTAATTTTTAAGGAGCAAGGTGCTTTGGAAAAATATATTTGATCGTTTAATGTTTTAAGTGTCTTTTTCTGGCCGATTAAAAGTTGCCCAAATCGTATTTATCTATACCCCAGAAGCATACTATGTTAAGTCCAAAATTGGCATATTTGAGTCATTCGAAAAAATGTTGGTGTAATTTAAAAAACTGTTTTACATTTAATTTAAGTTCAAAATAGAGTTTAGTCATATACCAATTATTACAATCATAGGTTTAAAAATAACATTCATAAGGTAAAACTGTGTTTTGTGACTTAACATAGTTTGTTTCTGAGGTACAATTCATAAATACACGAAAGTTTTAAAATAAGAAACATGCAAAAAAAGGTACCTAAATACGTTTATTTATTGTAAACATTAATTATAATATCAGTACAATTGGTTAAATTAATTCCAGACGATGGCAGGTGAGTTGAATTTTTAGAAAGTAAATTTATTTCCTGAGTGCTTGAACTTGTTGAAGACCCATCATTGCCAGAAATGTTACCCAAAATATTACACATGACACTTTTTTCTTATTTTCTTTGGAATTTTCTATACAGCTCTCTGCCACTGTGTTAGAGCGCCAACCACCATGTCTTTTAACAGTTAATAAATCCACTCCTAAATCTGCAAGCAACGACGCAGACGATCTACGGAAACAATGGCCAGTGCATTGTTGTGGATTTGGAAGACTTAGGAACAATGCTATTTTATACGGCGTTTTCCCTAAAGTATTAATGCCAACGGGTTGCTTAATACATTTTCCATTTCTGTACCCCACAAAAAATCGAGTATGCTCTATGTTGCTTGGCCGCATAGCTATATATCTTCGAACCATTTCCACCATATTTATTCCTTCAACATTCCTTTTCGTTATAAAAAAATATCGTAATATCTTTGTTTTCGTAAATGGAATAATGATATGAATGCATTGTCCTTCATCTTTAACATTTTGCAGCTGCAGATTTGTCAACTCGATACGCCGGCAGGCTCCCGCAAGTCCCACTGTCAATGAAACTTTTGTCAGGAAATAAGTTTTAACATCTGCTTCCAACAAAAAACGAGTTATGTCTTCTTTTCTTAAAATTCTCGATTTTTTTGACCGAAATCCTTCCGATTTTCTTTTTAAAAATGCAATTAAATGGACGTACTTACTAATATCTGTATTTTTCTTCACTGATATAACTGAACGTAGCATAGAATGATATAGCCAAAGTGATTTCCTTCCTTCCTATGTTTTGAAAGATGTTCAAAATATGCCAGGAGAACCTTTTCGTTACTACTATTCTTGATTCCTTTCCCTTTACACCAATCTTCAAGTTTTACATAGGCTTGCTAGTACGATTGTCTTGATTTTTCAGGAAGTAGGGAATCGACAACGTTTTGCGCAATGCGTTCAATATCCGAAGGGACACTTTCAGAATCAGAATCACCCATATTAATATTTTTTGCTTTTTGCTAAAACTGAACGTTTAACACAAAATTGAACATCAACAATTGAGTTGTCAAAGTCAAAATGGAAACAATCAACAAGCACGGTTACCACGGCGTCGACTAATATTGGCACCTGATAATTTTGAATTTTAATTTTTATGAGGATATCTCTGATATTTTAAATTAAATCAAATCTCTTTGGATCGTCCCTCGTGTCGCGTCGTAGATTAGATTTTGAATGATACACGTTCGAAACGAACTTTTTAATGAAACTTGTTAATTAACTTTTTATTGAAACGTTACACGCGTTTCATTATGATGTTCGTATCGAACTTGTATCATTAATAACTATAAAACATATACGTCTACAAAAACCCTTGACGTTTTGTTAAAATGTTTTTTTTTATTTTGTAAATTTTCTTCCAGTGGCGAAATAGGACTTTTTTGGATAGATAAATCCGCCACATAGGTATGGACATTTTTTTCAAACACACCTACAGCTAAATTATTCTTTTTGACTTACGTTGGACTGTCCGTAAATGAGGGGGGCACCGAAGGCGGCTGGTAAGGGTCCGCACGTGCCAGCAAACCCATTTTCCGTCAGATGCTTGTCCAGTTCAACCGGGTCACCCACAACGTTCGTAGGGACAATGGGAGCGTTCCTGCTCAGCGTCTGCAAAAGGAAAATGCATTTTACGAGGAGAATTTCAATTGGAATGCTCTAATATTCAAATAGGGGTTTTTATTGCAGTAATTTACTTTGCTGGAGATACGTTTTTTATTTTCCCAATTTTATGGAGATATGAATAATATATCCATTAAGTAATAGCGAACGAGGAAAACAAAATTTATTGCCAAGTTCAGAAAATTGGAGACAGAATTATAGTAAATTTATAATATCGGTTATTGATTTGTTTGTGTCTCGTATATTAACTTTGAACAAAAAAACCTACGGAAAGTGTTTGAATCTATTACGCTGTACTTTTCGGGTTGCTCTCAGAGGTCGGGTAAAGCGTGTGTGTCACCGAAGGAAATATATATTATATTTCAAAAATCTGCCTAAAGCTTAATCCGATTCTGTCGTGTTAAGCCACACCCAAAATTCCAAACACACGTGCTTTGATTAAGGCTTGATTATGGTTTCCAGAGCTTAAGCATTTGCCATAAAATAACGAGCAATTTATTATATAACCATATAAATGATATGTGATATATATGATTACAGTGATATATATGTATATATATATATATATCACTGTAATCACAAAAATTCAATCTATTTTCGTATTGTAACGGAATTTTAAATTATGTCTTTATTTTCGAGAAAATTTAGTCCAAACATAAGGAATATTTTGTTGATGTTTCACCATCAAAATCTTAAAAATAAAGAAGTTGTCTAAAAATGTGTTACAATACGGATATAGTATAATCCTTTATCTTTAATTTCCTTCTTCATTTGTGTAAAAATATCTAGCCAGTTTTACATAAAACGTTAACTGCCGAACGCTTATTTTCCTACTTTTTCGGACTAGTGAAATGGACTCTTAACATACAACCGTTGCAATTATAAAACTATTGTAAGATGCCAAGAACACCAAATCCCGAATTCATATTCTCTTCTAAAAATTCCATACATACAAAAAGACAAAGACAAAGACAAAGACAAAGACGTAGACGTAGACGTAGACGTAGACGTAGACGTAGACGTAGACGTAGACGTGGATGTAGACGTAGACGTAGACGTAGACGTAGACGTAGACGTAGACGTAGACGTAGACGTAGACGTAGACGTAGACAAAGACAAAGACAAAGATAGGCGTAGACGTAGGCGTAGACGTAGACGTAGACGTAGACGTAGACGTAGACGTAGACGTAGACGTAGACGTAGACGTAGACGTAGACGTAGACGTAGACGTAGACGTAGACGTAGACGTAGACGTAGACGTAGACGTAGACGTAGACGTAGATGTAGACGTAGACGTAGACGTAGACGTAGACGTAGACGTAGACGTAGACGTAGACGTAGACGTAGACCTAGACCTAGACCTAGACGTAGACGTAGACGTAGACGTAGACGTAGACGTAGACGTAGACGTAGACGTAGACGTAGACGTAGACGTAGACGTAGACGTAGACGTAGACGTAGACGTAGACGTAGACGTAGACGTAGACGTAGACGTAGACGTAGACGTAGGCGTAGGCGTAGGCGTAGGCGTAGGCGTAGGCGTAGGCGTAGGCGTAGGCGTAGACGTAGACGTAGACGTAGACGTAGACGTAGACGTAGACGTAGACGTAGACGTAGACGTAGACGTAGACGTAGACGTAGACGTGGACGTAGACGTAGACGTAGACGTAGACGTAGACGTAGACGTAGACGTAGACGTAGACGTAGACGTAGACGTAGACGTAGACGTAGAGACGTAGACGTAGACGTAGACGTAGACGTAGACGTAGACGTAGACGTAGACGTAGACGTAGACGTAGACGTAGACGTAGACGTAGACGTAGACGTAGACGTAGGCGTAGGCGTAGGCGTAGGCGTAGGCGTAGACGTAGACGTAGACGTAGACGTAGACGTAGACGTAGACGTAGACGTAGACGTAGACGTAGACGTAGACGTAGACGTAGACGTAGACGTAGACGTAGACGTAGACGTAGACGTAGACGTAGACGTAGGCGTAGACGTAGGCGTAGGCGTAGGCGTAGACGTAGACGTAGACGTAGACGTAGACGTAGACGTAGACGTAGACGTAGACGTAGACGTAGACGTAGACGTAGACGTAGACCTAGACCTAGACCTAGACGTAGACGTAGACGTAGACGTAGACGTAGACGTAGACGTAGACGTAGACGTAGACGTAGACGTAGACGTAGACGTAGACGTAGACGTAGACGTAGACGTAGACGTAGACGTAGACGTAGACGTAGACGTAGACGTAGACGTAGTAGTTTTTGCCTTTCTGTTTTTTCTTTAATATTTGCTTTAGCCCTTTAAGTCCCAAGCTATTGAAACCGCACTACACGATCTCCATGTTTGCTTGTTTTATTCTACGATACTGTAATTTTACGACTCCTTGTCTATCGACAAGCAATAAAATCCTTCTACGATAGCTCTAAATTATTTGCCCACGTTGATTAAGAGCAAATTTCCGACGCTGGGCTGTCAGTCGTCGTGGCCGAGGAAAATAAAACCTTTGAGCCATTGTTGACGGATGAATGGGGCAAGGTCGGTGAACCGTAAGACGAAGGGCATATCGTTGTTGGAAGTCGATAAAACTCGCTTAGACCGCGGAGAAAAAAAGGCCATTAAAGGGTTCGTTGGGTTTTATTTTCGCATCGGTGTATAGCGGAACAATAAACTTCCGCGCAATAAAACACGTATAGAGATGTGTGGGTGGTATACAGGGTGCTTCAAATTCGAGGTACGGGCATAGGTTTCTCGGAAATCGTAATAGATACGAATATGTTTACTTGAATACTTGAAATACTTTTTTTTTGAAAATCAATTTTATGTTTTCCTGTCGTTACTTTTTAGAAAATCAAAAACCTAATTACACATTCTCATAGCTCCGTTTTTTTCTAAAAAACTCAACAATCTTTGAAATTTTAAAACTTTCTTGATGGCGTCTTGGTGAACATCCCAAAGCGCAACTTAGCCCCAACTTAACCATGTTCGTTTCTATTATGGTTACCGAGATACCAATTCTCGTGCTTCGAATTTGTAGCACCCTGTATACAGGGTGGTCCGAATTGTATTCCGGAAACTTCGGCAGTATATTGTGCAGATAAAAATAAGTAAAGAAGTTCGTATACTCGTAAATGTATGTCCTAAAATGCTTAGTTTTATAGGGCATGTTTCTCTCTACAATTTCCTATTTCACAATGTACCGTTTGTGTCCGGGAAGGGTTCATAATTTCATAGTTGTCGATTTTCGAAAGAAATCAGTACATTTATTTTATTTCGTATATTTTTCATTTTATTGTTTTTATGGAAAGCACTGTTCATTAAAATGTTGTATCCTATGTTATAGGGATTGTTTCTCTCTACAATTTCCTATTTCACAATGTACCGTTTGTGTCCGGGAAGGGTTCATAATTTCATAGTTGTCGATTTTCGAAAGAAATCAGTACATTTATATTATTTCGTATATTTTTCATTTTATTGTTATTATGGAAAGCACTGTTCATTTCACCGGGTGTAGAAGTTTCATTTTTATTTCGATTTTTTCCAAATAATTTCTGAAGTAACGTCAATATTTGGATGAAAATTGGTGTCTGGTAGTTTTTTGACATGAGAAATTTGATTTTGATGTCAATATGACTCCTACTAGGACGCCACCTACATAATTTTTAACTGATTTCAAGAATAATAACTTTTCGTCCGTACCTGTATAAAAGTAATGAGTAAAAAAATATATACATTTACGACGTTCTTACGTGAAAAAGGTGTTTTGGTAAAAATCGCTATGGTTTTCGAGATATTTGGAATCGAAATTATTAATACTTGTCATCACTGACATAAATTAAACATGTTGACTAAATAGTTATTAGACTGAAATCAAAAATTTGAAATGTTTTTGCGCCAAAACTGTTTTATTATCATTTTTTTGCAGAAAAATTTATGATTAATTTAAAAAAATAAAAATTTTCCAAATTTATTATTTCAGCGAAATAACCATAGGAAATAACCATCTAACTCAACGTGTTTATTTTTCGTCAATAATGACATGTATTGACTATTTCCATTCTAAATATCTTGAGAACGGTTGCTCGTAGCGATTTTTACCAACAGAAATTATTAAATTAATTATTAATATTAAATTATTATTTACATAAAAAATCATGGAAATATATACTTTTTCACTCAATTTTATACAGGTACAGACGAAAAGTTATTACTCTTCAAAACAGTTAAAACACATATAGGTGTCGCCCTCTACTAGTAGAAGTCATATTGACATCAAAATCCAAATTTCTCATGTCAAAAAACTCCCAGACACCATTTTTTATCCAAATATTGACTTTACTTCAGAAATTATTTGGAAAAAATCGAAATAAAAATGAAACTTCTACACCCTGTATCTCTGAAACTAAGCATTTTAGGACATACACTTATACGAACTTTTTTACTTATTTTTATCTGCAGAATATGCTGCCGAAGTTTCCGGAATACAGTTCCGACCACCCTGTATAAGATAAAAATTTCTACATATTTTTTAGTAAGAGACAATGTATGCATTCCATAAAGCACAACCCTTATTTTAAAAGCAATAAAACTGTTCTACTAAAGACTACTAAAGAACATTGTATTTGTAAAACTTTAATATTGGCCAGAAGCAAGACGTACTTCAATAAAAGATGTCAACAAGAATTGTTGCTGTAATCACGCGTAATCGTCTCAAGCAACATTATTGGGATTCCTCCAGAGACGTTTCCAATATTCCATAACATTTCTGCAGAACATTGTTATGTAAAGTATCTGCAACTCATATGCCCTAACTGAAAGTATGCAATAAAGGATGCGAGTGAATAGAGAACTACGTTTCTTTGTCTGTATATATTTGACGGAGTAAAAATTGTTTCAAATAACCCAGAGTCAGTCTCGAATTTTAAATTTTATCTAATATGAGCTCTGTCTTAGAGAATGCAATATAAAAACAGGAGCTTAAAATC